ACTCCAGGTTCTACTTCCAGCCATCCAGTCTAGTTGGTAGTTAGGGCCAGAAGGGTCCCTCAGGTCAGCTCATCAGACAGAGTGGCACAACAGACACAGAAACTACTAGGACCTGGGGTTTACAGTTATGTTCAGCTTAATCACAAGCAAATAAATAAGATGGGATAATTCACCTCTCTTTCTTTGCTTAGTTGGTTTTTGATGGCTCACCTCTTATTAACTGTCTATTATTTCAGCCTCTCTTACATCTGTACACTTGGAAGTCATTAAAGTCCAAACTTGGAAGTCATCAACAACATCTCAACCCAAGCGCAGCAGTGGATCAAATGGATGATTAGTTTTCAGCATCAAAAGTAAGCGAGTTTCTGAGCCGAATACAACAGCACAGCAAATAAAATCGTTTCAACCCATAAAATGTGAAACAAGATGCCAACATTATGCTCTGCATTTGACTCATTTGCATTTTACAACTGTACTAACAAATGAATTTGTCCAGCAGATAACAAAAGTACAAAACAAGGAAACAGAAATTATCATGTATTACAAATTTAGATATTGCAATGGAAGTTGTCTCTTCCCAGGAAGTACTACGGACAGTGAGAAATTAAGAAAATTGTCTTCTTATTCTTCCCTTAAGAAAACAAACACCACCACTGAAGTACAAGTTGGAAAGATTAATAAAAAATAATACACATCAGTTAGAAGTCCGTGTATTTCTCTATCTTCTAAAATCATTTTTGACAGTGTTATGGTATATCTTGTAATTGTATTTTCAGGTTCATATCTGCATGAAGAAAAATAACCTTATTTTCTGAACTTAATTCAACGTACAAATTCCTGAAAACTAATACAATTCTCAAATACTGTTGAGACACCATATGACATTGATTTATGCAACAGGACAGCATAAAGCAAATCACCAGCACCATCAGACAGACAACTATTCTTAATAAGGTTCATAGCAAGTTTCCCAGAGAATATTTTGCCAAAGGAAACTTCCTAGGAAAATAATCACTGGGAAAAAAAAATATTGTTTTCAAAGCAAGCTTTTTCTAAACACTAAGTTACAGTTCTGTTCACCTTTGTGCAGTAACTATGCAAGCAGGTGATTTTCACAGGGCTGTTTTTTTTCTTTTCACATTGCTAAATCATACAAATATTGCAAGGATGAGGCCCATACACAAGCTGAAAACCAGATACCACAGTAAACAGATTTTTATTCAGTAGTGATGAAACATGAGCCAAGATACAAGCTGAAGTTCAGCCCTTTAACTTTGTCTTGGCTACTTCCTTCTATTATATGTGAGACTCTTTCACACAGTCTCTGAAGTAAGTGTCTAAGCTCCTGTGGGGATTGGTCAAGGAACTGAAGTAATGCTATAAACTCTCCTAAACCCTGTCAAGCAGAAGATAAGGCAGAAACATTTTCTTTTCTCACAGATTGATATTATTCAGGGACAGGAAGCAAGAACTAGGATTTTTTTTAAGCAAAAGGATAACTAGCTAACATACAGTTAGCATTAGAGAGCAGTGCTTACCTAATTACCTAAAATGCTGCAAATGCATTATTTTTATAGACTATATAATTCCACAGTAGTACAACATTGCTGTCGGTAGGAACCTTAAAAATAAGTTGTGTCCACTATGGATGTCCTACCAAATGCATGAAACCAAAAGCAGCTGGCTTGATAAAAAATCACTTACAATGTAATCACATTCATTGTACTCTAATGAACTGTCACTGTGACCAAAATACTTTTCCAGCAATTAAATACATGAAATGATACTTCTGGAAAGCTGACAGTCTTAAAAATAGATGTTCAGTATCACTTTCCAGCATGAGAAAATTTATTCTGGTAATGTGGCTCTTTCAGCAAAGCCTGTTATTCCTACATGTGTTTAATATGTGCTTTGGATGTTTTGTGAATTTCCTTTTTGGTGGAAGCATTAGCATTCTGGATTAATGGATAATGAGCAGGAATAAGAAAGCATTTCATCAAGTTTATTGCTCACAGTAACTCTGAACACTAAGCCATTGGTTCTATGTTTTATTTCATTAAGGCAATGTATCATCTCTACTGTGATAACAGAACTAGTCGGCACTTCTGGAGATCAAAGCGAATTACAAACAGGCCTGCCAAGCTGAGCATATGTAATTTTATATGTAATGTTGCATACAATCCACATCCTGACACAGACTTGCAACCAGACAAAGATGATCTTTGTCTATTTATACGGCCTGCACTTACTACAGAGGTGTTCAAATCCTCGAGTCCTCACTCCAATGCTACGACACTATGACCCAATAAATTTTGCTAACATGATTGCTGTTCTGGTATACAAAAGGTCTGCAAAATAAGCCATTCCTTCTAAAACCACACGAGGAAATCACTGGTAAGATTTTCAGAGTAACTATGGATTCATCTGGCTTTAAACACCAGGAAAAGTCTGAACAATTTAAGCTGTCAACAGTAGACCAGTTGCACATAAGACTTCATGGTAGCATTATAAGAAATCACTCAAACACCAAATATGGGCAATTTTTTTTTCAGGTGACAATATTCCCAGATGAATGCTTCAGCATATCTAAAATACATGCCTATAGTTTACTCTCTTTTCCTTCAATACAGTGCATGTCTTCATTTGTCCTTACAATAACAAAGGAGAAAAATAGTCTAGGGCTTGGAGAACTGAACTGGACTTAAGTAGACATTTTGCAGAGCAATATTATATATGACTGCTTATGCCTCCGGAGCTTAATGATGAAATAAAAATTACAGTGTGTAATTTACAATTACTCTTAAGCTTTAACTGCAGCTCTCTAAAAACAAAAATCTACCTATTGCCTCTACTACTATATACTTATTCTATATTGCTATATACTGTATCAGCTATTGGGATGAAATTAAAATAGAATGATTAAATTAGACTTTTAAGGCAGAAGGAGTATCTAGAAATTTAAAAGCGCACACTTTACCCAAAGCAAATAAGATAGCTATGCTCCTAGGGTATTTCTGTGAGTACTGGAGTAAACCACACATACTGAGGTGAAATAACTGGAACAGTTAATGTATACCGTGTCAAGCCAACCGAAGCTAAGATAATAAAGAAAATTCATCAATAAATAATGTTCCTCATATGCAGCCAACTAAGAGGTATAACTGTTTCTAGAAAGTAATGTCAATATTTTTTTTTGCAAGCACATGGACATGGTACAGGTGAGAGGAAAAAAAATACACAATATGCTCAAACATAGTAGTGATATCTATACTTCAAAACATTATGCCATAAATACATATCAACAGCGTATAACACTCAATCATTAAAAATTTGCACACAATCATTTAAGCAGCCACTTACCCCCCACTAAGTAAAAATGGCAAAAAATGTCAGCAGGTACAGGGCAAAACATGTTTAAAAGCAAGCCCCATTTGGAAGGCTATCTATGTTTGGAAGAGAACACACATTGCAGGTAAAAACATGCATTAGGAAAATAAGTAACATTCAAAAAGCCAGAGGCACAAATAAACTTCTCTAATAGCCCGTTTTATTAGGGGAAAAATACTAGGGAAAACATTTAGAATTTAGAACTACTTCATTAGGAAAAATATTTAGAAAAATAATTACTGAAGCTAGAGGATGTGGGTACAAAGGTCAAAAAGAAAAGTCACCTTCCAACATGAAATTAATCTGCTGTATCATTAACAGCCTGAAAATCACTACTTTCCTGCTGCTTTGAAGACGTACATCTTACACTAGACTTATCTCGAGAAATGAGAAGAATGCAACACAGACACTTTTTCCATGACCTCCCTCCTACAACCAACTTACCTTTGGGATTTTAGTCATGAACAAGGAAAAAAACCAATGTAATTCAATATCATGCTCTCGGAACGGTTGTAACAAAAATGGAGTCTTGTATAAAAGGGTGCAAAAGAAAAGAGAATTGCTCTACTGGCATCTTTTGCAGCAGCTTATCCCAAATACACCTTTCAATAGGGATGGAATATGAAAAAGAACTGGGTGGATTTTAGAGACAAAAGAAAAGCACATAAGGAAACATCACAGAAAGGCTATGCAGTATTCATGCAGAAACATGCCTGTCAAGCTACAGGTTGAGGGACCCAGCTTTAAAGGTTCTGAAACTTTTTAGTGCTGTTCATAAACGATCTCAAATATCAACAAATAATATGTTCTGAATCTGAGACAACTAAGTTAAAACATCAGTAGAGTTGAAACAGAAAGGATTTATTTATGCAAGGGTATCATTATTCTAAACTGAGGATGGCCACCTTCCACATGTCCAAGAGGATCTTTCATTCCCAGCCACATCTCCAGGCAAAAATACAAATAAAAAATAAATTTAAAAAATAAATACAGCCATATTTCTGACACTAATCCTACTCAACCCAGCATCTGTTCATATCCCCCACTCTTTCCTAGCAGCGGGCACGGGACCTTGCCACTGTGAGACAACCTCCTGAGCACCAGAACCAGCTGGAACAAAGTGCCTTAGGGGGCAGATTCAGAACCCTTACAGACTGTAAGCACCTTCTCTGCAGCCTTCCTTTCCCTTCCAAATAATGGGCAACTTTTATTCTGCCCTTCAAGTCAACGTGAAATGGTTCCCTAGATAGCTCTGCAATGAATGCTACCTGCAGACTGTGGCATTCTGAAGAAAAGGCAGATGAGACAAAATATACAAATATATTTGCCTTTCTTTCCAAAAAGTTATCTTTTTGTGGTAACCATTTGAAAAGCATGCAAGTGAGACAGTACGTAACGAAGATATTTTTACTCTAAAAATACAACCTCCCTCTTGAGTACTTTCCACTTCTGGAAGAAAAAGACAGGAAGATCTTCAGTGTACAGCACTGTTCAGATTTCAGTAAGTCAGGAGAGTCTGAATTACAGAAATAACTGCTATCTAAATCACACAGTCACAAAATCAAAGTGCAAAAAGCAGCAGGAAAAGATTTTTCTTCATTTGATATACTCACCAAACCTGCAATGGGGGTTGGTAGTCTATTGATCTTTTTGACCAATCCTGGCTTTATTGCATTCAGCAACCTGTTATGAGAAAGGAGTATTTATGAGTGCTAAATCACAAAGCTCAATTATGAGTGCTAAATCACAAAACTCAATTATCAAATACTTGTTCCCAGCATATAAACATTTCAGTAAGGCTGGAAGAGATTCTTCCCACTGTCTTCTGCAAATGCACAAACGTATCTGAAGTTCCATCACTGAAATGAAGGAAAGCTAGAAAGAAAAATGCCCTCAATATCCCAAGGAAGAATAGCCTGACAGTTTCCACACTGCAGGGTGAGGCATTTTCATCATAAACTCCTCTTGTTACAAACCGTGTTTCCCTGCCACTTTTCTCCCAAATGAATATCTCATGCTTTTTATCCAAAGCATGAAAATTCCATCCCAGCTATTGAGAAGAAAATCATCAGATCAAGATAATCACTTCAAATTCAAGATCTTGAAAGAGATCAACAAAAGGGACTATGTTTAAAACTCTGCAAATGAGAGCATACACAGTGAAAAAGAAGAAATCTCCCAGTGTGCTGACAATCCACCCATTCAGGAACCACCCTTTCTAGCAGCCTACTATAACCATGAGTGGCAAATGAGTGGCAAAGAACACAATGTAAACAGCATTCGGAGGAGCTGAAGTGGGGGAGCAATTTTTTATTTTTTTAAATCTCTTTACAGTTAAAAACTGTAACTCGACCTCATAAAAACTGCTGTACTACTCCCGACTTTTGCTTATGATAAAATCTAGAACTCTCACATCCTAGAAAACAAATGATGAAAGAGTATACTTCATATAAAAAAACCAACATTTTTTGTTCTATTTATTTATTTTTACCCCTAGGTACATAGAATAGCACAGAAAGAATAATACGTCTCTTCTCCTATGACTGTAATTTTATCCCAGAGAGGACAAACAAAAATTACTTTGTTTTCCCCAAATGCACAAACTAATTTTTCAGACTTGCAAAGCAGCAATCCTATAAACTAATATTATTCATTCAGCTGCTGCAACAAGCAATGTAAGATTTCTTTTTCTTCACGGCACCTTTTGAATACTCTAGTTCTGTTAAGACTTCAATCTACAGTGCCTATTCTGTCCCAAGGAAAAAATTATATATTAACAAAAATATCCAATTTTCTTTATTACTAATATGTGAATATACCAGGCAGAATAACATTTACTGCAAGAGTACATGAAATGCCATAACCAACAATAGAAAGTAAAATAAGGAGGTCTTAATGGAAACCCCAAAGTCAAAGCCCATTCCCAGTAAACTTTCAGACTGGCGTGTACAGGGTTCTCTGTGAGATATGGGGGATGGGTTAGACAAGAGGAAGGAAAAGAGTAGGGAATAAACAACACTTTAGATCACCGTTTGGAGTCTGAAGTGGGAGGAAATGGGCCAGGGCAGGATGGAAAAGCCTGAGGAAGAAAGGTCTCTATTATTAAAATGTTTACCTCCTGTTGGAAACATCTCTAAATGGTCTGGCACCAAAACCTCCAGGACTGGCCCACTGCAGAACGTGCCAAAGGCAGATTTCTTCCAGAGCAGTCTGGCTGCTTCTAAATTATTGCCTCATCTAGAGCAACAGTCCCGATGCCAAAACACTGAGTGTCGCCAGCTTGCCCAGCCACCAGCCTGGCTGAGAAGCTGCGCTGTTTACACAGTGTCACAGTGTCAGCCCTCAGTCCCATAGTCGCTATCTGCTCGTTTCTCCAAGAGAGCTACCAAATACACCTCTTCCTGCACAGGCCAACACACACAAACTAATTTTTTCTGTGCTCTTTGGACTCATAAGGAGCATCTGTCTTGATACGTGAAATTCTATCAACTCCAGCAGGTTTCTATGAAAATACAGAGCCAACAAAATACCCATCGATGCTGCACTGCAGACTTGGCCTAAGGCCCTCAGCAATGACCCACGGGTAAATCTTGCTGTTGGGAAAACACTTTCTGATGCAGACCTTCCTGTGGCAGCCCCTTTCCAGCCCTGCCACAGCAGCAGCTCCAGGCTTTGTGACTCTCCCAGTCCTATCCCTAGGTGCAGTCAGAGGTGAAGACATGATCCCCAGGGAACAAATTCACAGAAGAGTGAATTTTTGCTGCCTAACCCTTCCTACAACCCCACTACATTGGCTCCATTTGCAAGCCCTCTACAGCTACAGCTCTTGGCCTTGTCACTCTTCCAGCCATAGCCCTGACCATAACAGTGCGAGCGGATTTGCTTCTAAATATTTGCTGTTTGCAGTACTTGCCCTTCCACTCAAATAAGATGTTGTAAAAAATCCACCAGAACCACTCAGAAACCTTGGCAAATGGTACTTGGCAAAGCACTGTTCTAGCTAATGGACTGCAGGCATCCGGAATGAGATGACATGACTGTAACCAGCAGTGGGTATTTTTCCTGCACTTAACTGCACAGCAAGGCTAGATGACTGCACTACAGGCATCTACAGACAGGAGAGCAATTCCAGCATCTGTTGTCCAGCCATATGGGTCATCTCTGAAAATTTTATGAGATAACATCCTTCCCATCCCCCAAAGGAGACAAAACAACTTCACAGTCTTCTGGAACAAGGTAGAATCCATCAGCTTCCACATCCGGTGTATCACATACACAGTATTCTATGCTTTATTTTCACAACATTTATCCCTATTACAAAAGTTAACCCTATCATTTTCACGGCACAGGGCAGGAAATCAACATAACCCATAGGCACAACAAAGTGCTAAGACCCTATCCCACAGTCAGGTTAGAAAAGTTAGTTCTACCACTTTTGCAAGCATGTGACAAAAACTGAGACTAAAAAGTATATAGTCTACCTCTCACAATTTGAAAGCCTCCTCTAACTTTTTTCCAATGACTTGGCCACTCACTTGTTCTTGCAGCAGGAAGATGCTTGAAAGCACCTGCTGAACAAATATCTGTAACTGATGACACACATACAACCCTCTGCCTCAGACATCTGGTTAGAATGTCCAGATCAGCAATGGTGGTCAGTTTACTGAAGACAACAAGGTCCCTGCTGGCAGGTTCAGAAGGAAGTTTTGAGACAGACACCAAATTGTACTCAGACTTTGAATGACCACCGTTTCTCTGACAACTTCCTCGCTCTTACTGACCCTGTCTCCCACTTTCTCCTCCAAGGAAGCAGTCCTTTTCCTTGTGCAGTAAAAATTATCAAAGTTCAGGTATTTTCATCCCTGTGAGGGTATCAAAGGCAGACACGCAGTTTGCTGTTTATGTAAATGTCAGCCCCCCTGTTCTATCTCAAAGATAAAGGTCCACAAGTTCCAAGCTCAGGTTTTCTCAAGCACACATTTATTAGTTCAGGTTTTTGTACAGTTGTGTTCTTCAAGCAAAGAAAACCAATCAGCAGATATTCATCCTCTAAAGACACAACAAAACCTTTACATCACCATGTATCATATTCTGTTATGTAGAAGTTGGTAAACTACTGTTTAAATTGCCAGAGTTGAAGCATAAAGGTTGGATTTTTATTTTTTGTTAATGTACTGGTAATATATTCATATATTTCATATTCCTGCAACCAGGTATATAGGAAACCAGATGCAAGTGAGAAAATTCCAACTATGCTGTTTTGAGAAAAGAAAAAAAAACGGGGTTATTTTTAAGTCTTCCATGACTTTTCCTTTTTCCTTCCCCCTCCAGTAAAACACTGCTAACTTAAGATCTGATATGAGATGGTGCGGGAATAGACACTGTGAAACAGTGCCCTTCAGTGCTGTTCTCAAAAGGAGATCATAGGTACCTTCCCTAGGTTTGACATTTTTTTGGTAGCTGAGGTTTAATGATCCACGAGCACATTGGAGATGACTCAAAACAAGGTTATGGAGGACTTCTAAAAAACTTCAGCTTTCAGGCAACTTGCTTCACAAAGAAAACACTTTGGAGTCTTAACTACTACTGTTGCTAAAAGTTATTGATACGAAGAAAAAAAGAAAGAACATATGTTTCCTACTGAGGGAATTCTGGTTTCTGATATATCCTGCACTTCTCTAACATAACCAAAAGGAACAAATGACAAGGAAATCTCAAGAAACATTTTAAAGTAAAAGAAGAAAAAGCATAGCAAAATGAAAACACATGAGGCAGAATAGTTCTTGAAAGAATTCAAATATAATATGATGGAAAAAGAAAAATCCCACCAAACCCCCCCCAAAACAGCAATCCAACACAGGGTAAAACCAAAGCTCTACAGATTCCCTACATAAAACAGCAGTCCCTGCATGCACACACCTGTCTCATTACCAAGGTCCTTCAAACTCTCAGCTAGGATTTCCGTCCAGCTTTTCTGGCATTTATACACTTGTCCTGAGTCAAGTCAGCCCTGTTTTTCACTTCTCTCCTTAAAGTTCTCTTTCTACTTTTAACACAACATTTACATATCCATCCCATCTACCCCTTCTCTCGACCAGGCACTGACTTAGATCCTCTGGTGGTCAGCTCGTAGGTGCAGCTTGGTAAGACTGCAGAGGAACTGCCTTACCTTATGAAAATATCAGGGCACAGCAGCAATGGAAAGTTGATCCACTCCCACTCTTACAGGGAGAAGGTAGGTCACTTCCTTCCCCTTGTGAAAAACAGCTCTGGTACATATGGGGAGAATCAATTGCTCTATTTGGTACCGTCCCCAAGGCTTGAAATTCCAGGAGATAAGGTATCTCTGCAGTAGGACAGACAGGCTGAAATCAGTACTAGCCACTGTGTGACTAACCTGTAAGACCTTCCTGGGGTTGTTTATCACTGGTTAAGAATTTGAAAGGCTTCTGCCAGGAAAAGAAGGCGTTTCAGGCAACAGCTGATAAAAGATCTAATGAAAAGCACATAGACAACTGCACATGAAATTCTTGCAAGAAAGCGTCAGTTAAGAAAATATTCAAAGGATGGCTGCCAAATCCAGCCTCCAAGAAGACTTAGCTTCTAAGAGGAAAAATTTCAGAGAATAAGCTTCAGAAATGGAAAAATGAAAGGTTGAAAGGATGTGTGGTTCACAGATGAAT